GCCCCCCCGGGGGCCCCCGGGGGCCCCGCCGGGGGCCCCGGGGGCCCCGGGGGGCCCCCCGTGGCTGCTGCGGCGCTGGCGCACCAGGGAGAGGCCCACGTGGAGGCGCGGGCCCCACAGTACCCGCAGCAGCAGCAGCAGCAGCAGTTTGTTTATGAGTTTCCGGGCCAGCGGCGGTGGCAAAATGAAGCCCCTCAGGGATTTGGAGAAAGTTACAACTTGTATAGTGGGTTTTGACTTTGCAGGGGAGTCGCTGCGGTGTACGTACACCGCAGGGGTCGCTGCGGTGTACGTACACCGCAGGGTCGCTGCGGTGTACGTACACCGCAGGGTCGCTGCGGTGTACGTACACCGCAGGCGCGGGCGCAGCGCGCAGGAGCTGCAAAGGCAGCAAAGGCTGCAGCGCTTTGCAAGTGTGGGGCGCTGCGAAGTTTGCAAATAAAAGCTGTTAAGATCTGCAAGTGTGGGGCCCCACACGCATGCATTTTGCTTCGGAACTTTTGCTGCGCCTGCAGGGGCCCGCTGCAGCGCCCGGGGAGCGGGAGAGTCTTCTGCTGCCCCAGCGGCGCCGTTTGCTGCACTTAACTTCATATATATATAAATATATATATATTATAAATATATTTATTATTTAAATTCAAAGTTCCCGAAGTTTCCCTCATTCTTGCGGCACTAGGGCTTCAGCGCCCTGCTGCAGCAGCAGCAGCAGCAGCAGCAGCAGCAGCAGCACGAGGCTCCGCGAAAGCCTGCTGCCGAGAATCCTCTTCTCGTTTTTTAGCCTTTTGCAAACTTAGGACGAGAAGAAGCAAATTATTTCAGGTTTTGCTGCTGCTGCTGCTCGAGGAAGCAAGTTTATTCAGATTTGCTGCTGCTGCTGCTCGGGAAAGCAAGTTAATTCAGGTTTTGCTGCTGCTGCTGCTCGAAGAAGCAAGGTAGTTGGGGTCTTGCTGCTGCTGCTAGTCGAAGAGGCAAATTAATTCAGGTTTTGCTGCTGCTGCTGCTCGAAGAAGCAAATTAATTCAGGTTTTGCTGCTGCTGCTAGTCGAGGGAGCAGGTTAGTTGGGGGTTTGCTGCTGCTGCTGTTCAAAGAAGCAGGCCAACTGGGGCTTTGCTGCTGCTGCTGGTCAAAGAAGCCGATTAATTCAGCCTTTGCTGCTGCTGCTGCTCGAAGGAGCAAATTAATTCAGGTTTTGCTGCTGCTGCTGCTGCTCGAAGTAGCAGCAGCAGCAGCACTGAGGCTGCCTTCGGTCTAGATTGCTGCGGCTGCCCGCAGCAGCAACTAAGAGCTAGTTGACACTAAAAAGCTGCAGACTTGCTGCTGCTGCTGCTGCTGCTGCTGCTGCTGCTGCACCTAGTGGCTGCCTTCGGACAAGAAATGGTTCATTATATTTCAGCTAACCTGCGGGCTCTCTGCTCCGCTCGCAGCAACACAGAAAGCTGGTGAAATGGTCAACTCAACTTCGCATAAAGGGCCTCCTGGAGA